GGGGAGGGGGGAAGGCCCCGAGGCCGAGGGACCGTGTGTGGTTTTCTTTAAAGTAAACTGTGCGTCCGAGCAGCGCGCTCCGCAAGCCCGATTGTCCGTTTGTTTCTAGCACTCCCGTAGTGGTAATTTAAGTCAATAAATAAAACCCCTGTCTTCCCCTTTTAACAACAACAAAAAATATACAGATGGAGAGTGAAAGGTACAGAAAAAACGTCGAGGGAAATCAGCTCTGGGAATCGTACAGCTTCCTCCCCCCCTTGCAATCGAAGAGACCGCCAGATCAGGGTGGTAAATAAATGACCTACATTTCAACAGACACAGACAGACAGACAGGACAGAGGAGAGGGCTTCCCCCCCGACAAACATCTTTTTCTGATTGTCCCACAAAGCCGCGGCCGGCGCTCGCTCTGCTCCCAGGCTGTTGTGCGGTGCTCGGGGCCGCTCCGTCAGCTGTCGGCGCTGGGAACCGGCCCGCATCACATCTGTGCTCCCCCGCACCCGGCCACGGCGCAGCGTCCTAATGGCTGCTTGGGCAAGAGACCTCCTGTTTGTTTGTTTGTTTGCTTGGGTTTCTTTTGTGGTTTTTCCTCTCTCTCTCTTTCCCCCTCTTTTTTTTTTTTTTTTTCATTCCCCCCTCCCTTCCTTTTGTTTTACTTAATTTCTTTTTTTTGTTTTTTTTTTCGTAATAATTTTAATTCTTTTCGGGACGGATAGTGCTTGCGGTAGGGGAAAACGGGTTAATAATCACATCAGCTGCGGCTGCTGCATAGCTTCTTGGTGGGCCGAAGGATACCACGACGTGTAGCTGGGGATGTAGGTGCCCGGGGTCCCCGACGAGGCCTTACCGGAGGCGGAGGTGGTATTCCACACCGGTGGCACCGGTGGCGAGCTGCCCGAGAGAGCCCTGCCGTTGGTCAAGGCGCTGCTCTCCAGGGCGGCCCCTCCTTGCTTCATCAGCTTCTTGAATTTGGAGCGCTTGTTCTGAAACCAAATCTTCACCTGCGAAGGGGAACGCGGCAGGGCTCAGCATCCCTCGGTACGGTCCAGCACACCCCCCCCCTTCCCGCTTCCTCCGGTGTCCGACGGACCCCCGGCTTCTTCCCCTGATCCCACCCGTGGCTGCTGTGCCCGTTGCCATTTTGTGATGCCAAACCGCCCGGTAAGACTCCCCCCCCGCCCGCCCCGCCGAGGAGGCGCGGCGGGCCCCGGTGCCCGCGGTTGTGACCCGTCTGCATCACTCGTGGGGTCTCCCACGCCGGTGGTGGGGACAGGGAGAGGACACGGGAGAGGGGCCGGCTCATTCGGAGCTGTACCTGGGTCTGGGTGAGTCCCAGAGATGCTGCGAGCTCGGCTCTTTCGGGGAGAGCCAGGTACTGGGTTTGCTGGAACCTCCTGTTCAAAGCCTGCAGCTGCAAACTGGAATAAATAGTCCTGGGTTTGCGGATTTTTTTCCCTTTCCCATTAAAGCGAACTTCCCCTCCTTCTACCACAGTGCTTTTCTCCGATTCGGCCCCTACAAACCACAAACGATGCAGAATAAATAATAATAATAATAGCAGCAATAGTAATAATAGCAGTAACAGCAATAGCAGCAGCAATAGTAACAATAACAGCAGCAACATCAACAATAACAGTAATGAGGAGGAAGAAAAGTGAAGCTCGAGTAACGCTAACAAAGGCTCCGGGCGATTATGGCAGCCCAGGCTTCTTCCCAGAGAAAGTTTGCTATTTTTACAGGCTGCAGTTTAGGTTTAATTACCCTTAATTGCATACATTGTTTATAGCGCTACGCAATAAATAATTACGAAGACTAATACGTGCACATCTGGGTTGATTTCTTTTCCAGCCGGGCATTGTGTGCTCTGTGTACTGCTCCCCTGTGATCCTCAGCCTCTCCTGACTAAT